AACCCCGTCTGTGGGAGGAACCAGCACCATAGACATACAATCTGTAGGGCAGCTCTATACAGCTCTGGGTGTAAACACGTAGTCTGTTTGTCATATGTCTGTGTTTTACCTGCCTGCGTGCTGAAACCACGTGACACGTTACAGCCAATACTGAAACTTGACACCGAAAAAAGAGTGGCATTTCAATCCATACACCGACCAACGCAGTTCGGTCGGTGCTATAAAATAATCTCGGTTCGGTACTCAGCCCTAGCCGAAACATATGTTTTTATTGCTGTACTTCCATCCTGACTTAAATGAGATATTTAGGGTGAATATTTCAAGTATTTCAAGTATTTAGTTAGTAGGATTTTTTTTCTTCTTGCTACTGCTGTTTATGAGTTGGAAAACTGGGATTAATCTGCATTTATTAATAATGTCATACTTGTTTATAGCTCAGCAATCAAGACTAAACAATAATGCAGTCTTAATAAAAATAGCAATGTATTTTTACCATTTACAATTACAAGTTAAGTCTGCACAACTCGATGTACAAACTCAAACTTTGCATTATCTATTTTACTCAGTTTCTAACAGATTCCATTCAGTTTCCAATCCATAAAAATTATTTTACAGTATTTAGATTTTTCTGTGATGATTAACAATAATTCAGTGACAGAGGGTTTTAATTAAATCATCCTCAAACCTCACACATAAATGTGAAAAATGATTAAAAAAAAAAATATATATATATATATATATATATATATATATTTTTTTTTTTTTTTTTTCCTCTGTACTCCGGTGAAGACAGACGTATTTCCTGGCACTCTGTACCTCCCCTGCTTCCCTGCTTGCATTCTTTCGTCATGTGAACCCTTCAAAGAGCCTCTTTTTTTTTCTGCATACCTTCCTAATTTGAAGAATTTGATCAGCTGGTCTCTCAACAAAATCGATCAACTTCTCCCGACAGGAGTCAGGGTAAGGAGGACCCACTTACCTCGACGGAAACAAATTGGATTCATGATGACAACTAGATTCTACTGTTTGGTTGGTGAATTCTGGATTGTCTACAAATTTGTGTGGATGTGTCGAAGCTCAACAGCACTCAGACTGAATTTGTGGAGCTGCAGCAGGGAGCTGGAGCAGGTTGTTATCAGGACTGTGAACTGACTGGCAGCACTCATGAATGGTGGAAATAATCTTGGAGAAGCTGTGAGCTCGACTTTTTGCGTAAAGGATCAATTTGGCTGTTTTGGAGTTTCCATCAGAGGACTATATACCAGCAAGACTTTAAAAAGGCAGAAACGGCAATTCACGAGTTCTGCCTGACCCAAACTGTGGCCTTGACACCGGACTTATCTCAACTCCTCCTGGAATGTTTTGAAAACAACAAAGATGCTTTGACTGTTTCCTCACCCCTCCCTTCCCCAAGGCCATGGACATGTGACAGAACCTCAACTGAGCTAAAGATGAACGTCACCTCTTATCTGGACAATGGCTGAGAGGGGTCTCTGGACTATGCTATGACTTTCCCTTAAAAATTCAATGTCTTCACCGCCTATATGTAACTGTATAATGTCTGTTTATGTTGCTTTGCTGTGGTAGGTTTTTTAGATGCCTCAAATTGTGCTCTGTCTAGGACACGGTGTGACAGATCTTTTTTTATACCGTCTCTCCTCGTGACAGATCTTTTTTTATACCGTCTCTCCTCATGTTTTCTTTCCTTTTCTTATCTAAGCAAAATATTATTCTGAATAAGAATAAGAGGGCCACACTTTTTATAGTTGCAGCTTCGTGCACTCCGCCCATCTTCAGACGACTGTACGTACATGTTCTCGTTGTATCTCGGTGCAATGATAATAAAGTTTATTCTGATTCTGATTCTGAAATAAAGCCTAAAATGCATAAATAACATGCAACTGACATACTAATGTTACTTTGATTGCAGCAGGGTCATCAGAAAATGTAGACTGCCTCTTAACAATATTAAATAATTTTATAATATCCAATGAAGTACACTTGAAATATATTTATTAAGGCATAATAATGAACAAACAAATAATAATTTTATTATACTTTTCAGTAAATCGCAGTCATATGTTGGACAGCTTCGTACACATTCAGATTCAGATGTTGTTTATTGTCGTTCCACCTCATGTGGTACATGTGGTGGAATGAAATTATGTTCACAGGGTCCCAGTTACATCCAACAATAAAATGTAAAAGAAAACAGTAATATCATCTAAGATATGAACTAAGAAAAACATTAATTAAATATACACTAAGCACTAATAGCATAAAAACAATACACCAAACAGCAGCATGAACATGAGTCTGTGTGAGCAGATGAGCACGAATGGACACAGCAACATGAAACAGATCAGCAGCAACATGAAACAGATAAGCAGCAACATTGAAACAGATCAGCAGCAACATGAAACAGATCAGTAGCAACATGAAACAGATAAGCAGCAACATTGAAACAGATCAGCAGCAACATGATGTAATTTTCCAAAGTGATTATTCTGGTTAGAGATTCATGAGTCTAACAGGCTCAGGGTAGAAGCTGTTCCTCAGTCTAGTGGTTCTACACTTAATGCTCCTCAACCTCCTTCCTGAGGGGAGTGGGGCAAAAAGTGTGTGTGCTGGGTGAGTGTGGTCCTTCATGATGCAGGTGGCCCTCTTCCTGCATCTGGAGGTGTAGATGCCTGTGATGGTGGGGAGACTGACTCCAACATCTTCTGTGCAGCCTTCACCACTCTCTGCAAAGCTTTTCTCTCTGCAGCTGTGCAGCCTCCATGCCACACGTTGATGCTGGAGCACATCACAAAGGGATGTTGGGTTGTGCAGCAGCTAAGTTCATAAACAGCATTTTAAATTTGATCATCACAGACATGCAGCCACTGTCCGTGGTGGAAGATGAAAAGTTGCAGAAGATGATCAACACCTTCAATCCAAATTATGTCCTTCCTTCCAAATCCTACTTCGTAAATTCCGTTCAGTTTTCCAATCCATACATGTTTTTTTTTTTACAGTATTTAGATTTTACTGTGCTGGTTAAAAATAATTCAGTTTAAGCAATAAAATATTTTAAAAAGAGGACTTAAATGGGTTGTTTACTTAAATGTTCTTTATCGTGTGCAGAACCTGACAAGCTTTGTTTTCGATTAATCGCCAGAATAATCAAAAGATTACTCTATTACTAAAATATTTGTGTACAACAGTCCTACATGCAGCTCCCTGTTCATTGTTTATTGCTTAATAGTTTGGTTGTTTATCGCCACAACTGATGTGCAAGCAAGCGCCCAGCCTTTTCTGCCTGCTGTGCTAAGTAGACAAAGTATTAAATTCAGTTTGAAGTAACAACCTTTTTTTTTTCATTAGATCCCGTGAGTGGGAGGGGCTATTTTCTCTGTCAAATTGTAGTAGCTCATCCGTTAACTGTCTTAGCCGTACCAACCCTTTCTTTTTTTGTTTGCACAGTAGGAATTATTTAACCCCTCAGGTAGGTCTTTAATGCCTCCCAGACAGTACAGAGTGGCATTCCTGGCGTTCGGTTAACTTTGAGGAAAAGTTCAATTTCAGATGTAAGAAATTTGGTAAAGTCTTCCTCTGACAGAAGTAAGGGGTTGAATCTCCAAGGACAAAACACAGATTTTGTGACCGGGATAAGCAATTTCATAATGAGTGGACTATGGTCTGATATGACCATGGCCCCATAATCATATTCCTTCATCAAATGTAAAATTTGTTTATCAAGAAATAAATAATTGATTCAGGAGTACGTTTTATGGACTGAGGAAAAAAAACGAGTATGACCTTGAGGTAGGTTTACGGAAATGCCATACATCAACCACACCATACGATTCAAGGAATGAATTGATTAGCTGAGCGGACTTAGTCAGAGTAGTTTTCCCCCTTCAAACTATGGTCGAGATAAAAGCACACAATTTGTGTCACCGCCAATTATAAAGTTTTGTGTTGACATATTCAGTATATTTGAGAAGAGGTTACTGAAATTTTAGTTGTCCAACTTGGGAGCATATGCCGAAACCAAGATCACTGGCAGTGTGTATAACTTCCCCATCACTACAACATACCACCCTGCATTATCAGCATGCACACTCGAGGCTGTAAATTGTACCTGTTTACCAACTTTAATAGCTACACCTCTTGATTTAGATTGGAAATTAGACTGAAACACACAACCAGACCATTTTTTAACTAATTTTCCACTATCTGCAGAATGCACATGGGTCTCCTGTAAACAAAAAAAAAAGGCAATATCAGTGTTCAGGTGTGACATAATTTTCCAGAATTTTCCTGGACTATTAGGATGTTTCACATTCCAGCTTACACACATAATCTGGCAGCCACCAGGGTGGACAACATCCCTAACGTCTGTCATAATTGAACAGCAGTAAATAAATTACATACAGATTAGAACAGCACAAGCCAATATGTGGTTAAAAAAAAAGACTGATCTGGTATAAACTCAGCCCTCTCTCTTACCCAAACATGGGAAAGAGCAAAAAACGATCAACTGAAAATCCACACAGTAGTGCTTACCTAGAGAACACAGTCCAACCATCTGGGCTCCTGTCTGCCCATATGGGATATAATAATTAAAAAACACAAAAATAAACAACAATAAAAATATGAATATTGGGGGAGTGGTGGCGCAGAGGTTGGAGAAAGTGGACCTTTGTTCAGAAGGTCGCCAGTTCAACTCCCCAGACAGACGACATCAAAATATGGGTGGAAAAGGTGAAACACCTGCCTCCACCCTCATTAGCCCCACTCTGGGCCTTTGAGCAAGGCTCTTAACCCCTATCCTCTGTGCCCTAGATGGCAGCTCTCTGGTCCACACAGAAGGCTGTGGTAACTCCATGTTTGTGTCAGGAAGGGCATCCGGCATAAAAACAGTTGCCAGGTCTTTGTGAGAGTTAGTTCACTGTGGTGACCCCTGAAGAAAGGAGCAGCCAGAAAAAGAACAACAATTATTTGTATCATTTCAGAGCTGATTCTGAAGTCTCCAAGGAGGTGGTGAGACCTTTTGACTGGACATACACCACAGACTACAGAGGAACTCTGATTGGAGAAAGTCTGCAGCTGAAGGTTGGCGTTTACACTTTTCAGGTTCTTTTGAATATGATTGTACCTGACATCATGGTGCAGTGTGTGTGGAAGTTTACAGCATGGCTACGTTTAATGTTTTTGTGTTTGTGTGAAGGTGACAAAGACAACAGAGCGCATCAACATGGAGAAACTTAAAGCACGGGAACACATCGTGTTTTTTGAAGAAGTATTGTTGTTTGAAGACGAGCTACATGACCATGGAGTCTCCATGATCAGTGCCAAAATTGTGAGTGTCCTTTTCCTGGGAGTGTGGTAGGAAAAACTAACAGACTAAATCTTTAGTTCTACTTAATGATGTTTGCTCTCGCACTAACTACTGCACCTTCATCTCAATCTAGTTATGCTATTGGGAGTTATAAACCTCATTGTCATGACTGTTTATGGCGCATTTTTAAGTCCTGGTAAATAAACACTGAACTCTGCATCTGATTTAAATTTTCTACCCCCACATGACTTTTAGGTTTTTTTAAACACTTGTCTGTACAGGTGCTGGTCATAAAATTAGAATATCATGAGAAAAGTTGATTTATTTCAGTAATTCCATTCAAATAGTGAAACGTATATTAAATTCATTCATTAAACACAAACTGATATATTTCAAATGTTTATTTCGTTTAATGTTGATGATTATAACTGACAACTAATGAAAGCCCCAAATTCAGTATCTCAGAAAATTAGAATATTACTTAAAACCAATGTTAAAAAAAAAAGGATTTTTTGAAATATGAAGAAGACTGAAGAAGTCTCTCGGACGAGAGACGAAACGTTTCTACATTTTTTGTTGTTTTGCTTTGTTTTGGTTTTTTTTTTTGAATGTCCAGAGGACCAGATTTAACTTTTTTAGATTTTTTGAAATGTTGGCCAACTGAAAAGTATGAGCATGTACAGCACTCAATACTTAGTTGGGGCTTCTTTTGCCTGGATTACTGCAGCAATGCGGCGTGGCATGGAGTCGATCAGTCTGTGGCACTGCTCAGGTGTTATGAGAGCCCAGGTTGCTCTGATAGTGACCTTCAGCTCTTCTGAATTGTTGGGTCTGGCATACCGCATCTTCCTCTTCATAATACCCTATAGATTTTCTATAGGGTTAAGATCAGGCAAGTTTGTTTGCCAATTAAGAACAGGAATACTATGTCCTCATTGAACTGGTACAAGATGGCTGTGCTCTCTGGAGCTGCAGCTTCACAGGCTCCTGGTGCAATCCCAGTTTTTAGGAGTTTTGAAATTGACTCTGCCTGACTCCACACAATTTACTTGTGTGAATTATATCCAAACCGAATTGATGAGAATAGGAGCGGATTTGCCACAAAATATAGCAGCAATCAGCAATGAACTCAAAACTATGCTCGGCAGAATGCAGATCTTAGTCATCTGTCTGGAAGCTTCAGAGGCACTCCAATGGACAGAGGAGGAAGCGCTGCTCCTGGCTTAAGAAGCGAGGTCACCAGGCTGGGGTTCTGGTGAGGCTACGTGCTAACGCTAAAGCTGGCAAACTCCGGATACCTTCTCTTTCTGTCGAACGTCTGCTCATTGAACAACATCATGGATTTGCTTCGTCTGAGAGTGGGCACCTCAGAGGAGATGAGGAAATGTGCGGTTATTTGTCGCAAGAAATCATGGATTAACAGCGACATGCCAGATTCAGCGTTCCAGCTAGATGACACTCTTTTTCCGAGCAGACCACAGCAGCGAGCTAACGGGGAAAGCGAGGGGAGGTGGAGTATGCATTTACGCGAGTAAAAGTTGGTGCACAAACTGTACTCTGATAAACCGTCATTGCTCTAAAGCTTTGGAGCAGCTAACAGTGAAATGTCGACAACATTATCTACCCCGCGAGTTCACAGTGGCATTCATAACATTTGTTTACATAGCTCTGGATGCTAATGCTACTGACGCTCTGCAGGAGCTGCATGATGATTTCAGCTTGCTGCAGAGCAAACACTTTGAGGCTCTTTACGTAGTGGCTGGAGTCTTTAATCGCGTGAATCTAAAATACATCCTCTCAAGATTTTACTAGCATGTGGCCATACCAACATGTGGAAACAACACGCTGGACCGTGTTTTTACAAACGTAAAAGATGCATACAAAGCCGAACCCCACCTAGGATTCTCTGATCACATCTCAATCTTCCTGGCTCTTGCTTACCTGCGCCCCTGCTGAGACACTCCAGACTAGTACAAAGGAAAGTTAAATCTTGGATGCAGAATAGTGGCCCTATACTGAACGATTGTTTTGAATGCACAGACTGGCATGTCTTCAGAGAAGCTGCTGAAAATGGGGAGGTGTGGAGATGGAGCACAGGATGCTCTCCACTGCACACCTGTAGAAGGAGGTGAGGACTGAGCTTCCCAGACCAGTTCGTCTCAGCCATCTGAGGAAGTAGAGTCTCTAATGAGCTTTCTTGATCAGGCTGGTAGTGTTGTTGCCCCAGCTGAGGTTGTTGTTCAGGTGTACACACAAGTACTTGTAGCTAGAGACCACTTCCACCATATATCCTCTTATGTTCAGGGGGGTGTAGGTGTTTTTGTTCCTTCTGAGATGGCATCATCTGTTGATAGGTTCTCGCGGTATGCGTAATGATGAGAGTCCTCATTGATGTTGATGATTGTTTTGATGTGGGTCATGACCAGTTTTTTGAAGCATTTAGTGACTATCGGGGTGAGGGCCACTGGCCAATAGTCATTCAGACCAGTCACTGTAGAGCTCTTTGGGACTGGGATGATGGTTGCGGTCTTCAGGCAGGTAGTGAATGTCACTAGGGTAAGTCAAGTGTTAAAGTTGTCGACCAGCACTCGCAGAGCTGATTGGCACATTTTTTTAACACTTTCCTGGCGATGTTGTCTGGGCTGGTTGCTTTGTGAGGGTTAATCCTCCTGAAAGTACTCCTTACTTCTGCTGAGGTCATGCTGAGAAGCTCTTCATCTGGTGGTGAGGTGAGTCTGGTGCTGGGTGGTCTGTTCGGGTCTTCAAAGCATACATAGAACTTGTTGAGGGCAGCAGGCACATTCAACACTTGCTTTTCTCAAGGGCGGACGTCTCCTCGTCTCCCTCTCCGCTTTGCTTTTGCTCTGTCCGGTCTGTGAAACTGCTTTAGATCCTCTTCTACAAATCTTCAGAATCATAACAGTTGATTTGGATTTGGTCAGTTGGTCCCTCGACACAATTGACAACATTCCTTTGAAGAGAAGACGGGCTTTAGGCGAGACAATTTGCCCTGTTGGCTTGCACACAGCTGGATATCTCATGGTCTTTGAAGACTTGATGACGTGCCTATCTCTGCTGTCATCTGTGGATTTTAAAGACGCATTTATAATTGGATTTATGATAACTGGTTCCTACTTTTTGGATTCGGCTGGTTCCTGGCCTATCAACAAACAAGGAAGTTGTTGGCAGCAAATCTGGACCTGGCCAGGCTGCCTGCCTTATAGCCTGCTTGGTTGGTGCCTCGAGTACCCAGACTTTTGGCAGAATGGATCAGAGCTTGGGGATTATTCTCAGGCACGTTCCATTGGTATGGTCATTTAATTTGGATGTTTTGAATCAGAGTGGACTGACACATACTCAAGGTAGATGTCATTAAAGTTCTGCCTGTCCCCAAAATAATCGTGTTTATCTGAATTTGGCTCCCTGACTGGCCTTGACAGGCAATCTTACCTCAACCCGCGTGGAGGTTTTGTAAACATGATGCTCTAACCCCCTCCCTTCCCCTCAGTTAGAGCATTGAAGATAAGTCTTGGCTGGGTCTTCCAACATGACATTGACCCGAAGCACACAGCCAGGATAACCAAGGAGTGACTCCGTAAGAACATATCAAGGTTCTTGAGTGGCCTAACCAGTCTCCAGACCTAAACCCTATAGAAAATCTTTGGAGGGAGCTCAAACTCCGTGTTTCTCAGCGACAGCCCTGTCATACGCCCATCCAGTGGTATTAATCCCAGTATGTCCTCTTTAAAACAGTGACCATCAAAAAATTGCACAAACATACAAAGCTGAGTGGTGTCCGAATTGTCCGTGGATTCATCCACAACCAGGGATATGAATTAAGATTTCCTCAGTTGACCAAGAAGAGTGCCAAAAACGTCTATGGCTAAAACCTCCTCCCAGCTGTTGTGTCCAACAAAAGATTTTTTTAAATTGAAGATAAATTAAAAAAAACGTTCCATACAAAAACAACTGGACTTTATTTGTAACAGAAGATGTTTCGCTCCTCATCCGAGGAGCTTTCTCAATTCACTGAGCATTGAGTGAGGGGTTCAGGTTATAAGGCTGAGTGAGATAAGACACACACAAACATATGTAGATTTGATAATTCACACCTTAACACCTTAACAGTAGGGGTTTCTTAAGGTCTTTGTTACTCTAATTCACAGATGAGGCCCCTCTGTTCCCATCATGTGTGAAAACTGGCTGTGAATCTGTCTTAGGGACCGTTTACACGGCGCGTATTTTGAGTGCATCCGCAGCTTTCTCTTTGCGGTTCTGCTGATCATTTACATGACACCAGTGCCCCCCTCTTTGAATCCGGAGGTTTCTGAACCCACCTTCCAGAGTGGAGGTTTTTCGCTGACCGCCTGCTGATAATGTAAACATCTCCCACTGAGGCTTTGTGTTAAACCACATGCGCACATGCACGCATGGACAGACGCTATATTTCTATCAACGTGGCGGCGGATACACTGCTTTCTGAACTACGACTGATGGAATACATTTTTAATCTCATAGTTAATCTACGTCAGATTCCAGGTGCTGTGACCGACATCTGTGTTGGAAGAGACACAATCTGATCCAGTTCTAATGTCGCTGTTTATAGAACGAGGCAAGTGCACACGTCACGCTGCACTATAACATCCAAATGTGCTAAATATTAACAGTTTAATAATAATAAACAGTATTTATGTTAGTGTGAGAGATAATGAATCTTTGAGCTAAATGAAGCTATCTGGGCATTATGTAATTCAAATTTAAAATGATGTTAAACATATAGCATGAACACTAAAGTTGAAAATGAAGACATCAGGTTTAATTTTTATTTATTCAACACCACAAACTGTATGTCACACGAACACTGATAATTAAACTGAACACACTATTAAAACAAGTTAACTGTAAACTACATTAATGAACTGGACTCTTGTTTTCATCCTGGATGTCCCACGTTGTTCATCTGGCTCATTCAGGCTGTCACTGCTTGGATTAATTCAGCTTAAAGCATTGAATGGATCGAATAAAACAACTGATGGGAATTTTAAACAAATGGTTCATCCAACATCTCTCTCTTCGATGTTCTCCTGCACTGCACCTGGGCTGAGCCTCGTTCAGAACCAGCCCGCCTGGTGGGAGACAGCTCCTTCTTCTTTCAGGAAAAAATAAAAACTCGGTTGGTTGTTTTGTAACCAAAGTAAACACAAACTAACATTATTAAGAACATTTGATTTACCTGCTGTAAAACAGCTACTGATTATCACGGAGTAAAGTCCGACATCGTTGACTCTGTTGTGGTCCACTCTGCGACCGGTGTGGAGTTGTTAGACAAAGCGGTCCCACTTGGCGTCAAATCTGTCGACTCTTATCCACAATCCAGCCAAAATCCAGCTTTTACTTGTTGTTAAATTGTTGTTAGCTAAGCTTTTTAGCTCACAGGAAAGGCGCGTGCCGCATGCGCATTAGGTGAAGGTACAAAATTCACAGTGCCATCTAATGACCTGGCATGGGAGCTACAGCGGATTTGGGAGGGCGGGGGGGATTCCTCCAGATGCATGTAAACCCAAAATCCGACCGTGTCAACGCGGATCTTTTCCTCTAATTAACATACGACAAAACTTACGTTTCCCCCCATCGTGTCCGTGTAAACAGGGCCTTAAAGTTACATTATATGTTTTTGAAAGTGGAAATCTGAGGCCTCCTCCTCTGTTAAGAGATGGTTTTTCTCTTTTTACATAAATTGCTTCCTTCACCCCCCTCTCAAACCATCTGTGTTCTCGGTCCAAAATGTGCACATTTGGTCCTCAAAAGAGTGTCCCTTATCTGTGAGGTGGAGGTGAACAGCTGAATCTTGTCCAGAGGAGCTGGCTCTCCTGTGTTCAGCCATGCGTCTGTGAAGAGGCTGTTTAGTTTCTCCAATGTAGAGGTCTGGACAGTCCTCGCTGCACTGGACCGCAGACACTACACCACTCTGTTTGTGTATGGGTGTTCTGTCTTTAGGGTGGACCAGCCTCTGTCTGAGAGTCCTGCTGGGTTTGAAATGTACTGGGATCTTGTGTTTGTTGAAAATCCTTCTAATTTCTCTGATACTCCAGCAACATAAGGGATGACAATGTTTTTACGTCTGTTGTTCTCCTTTTTCAGTTTATTGATGTGTTTTGTAGATTTCCTCGCTGACTTGACAAAAGCCCAGTTAGGACATCCACATGTTTGAAGAGCTTCTTGAACGTGTTTCAGTTCCTTTTCCTTCCCTTCTGTCTTTGTGGGGACGCATTCGGCCCGATGTTGTAAAGTTCTGATGACAGAGAGTTTGTGTTCCAGTGGATGGTGGGAGTCAAACAGAAGATACTGGTCTGTGTGGGTTGGTTTTCTGTAAACTTCAATGTTGAGGCTGTCCTCTCTCTCCATCTGAACCAAACAGTCCAAAAAAGGCAGCTTGTTGTCGTTTGCATCCTCTCTGGTGAACTTGATGTTGTTATCGACCGAGTTAATGTGTCTGGTGAACGCTTCTATTTCCTTGGCTTGGATTTTGACCCAGGTGTCATCCACATAACGGAACCAATGGCTTGGCGTTGTTCCCTCATAGGAGTTTAGGGCTCTCTGTTCCACTTCCTCCATGTAGAGATTGGCAACAATGGATGACACTGGAGATCCCATGGCACAGCCGTGCTTCTGTCTGTAAAAACTGTCATTGAACTTGAAATAAGTGGTGGAGAGGCAGAGATCCAACAGGGTGCAGATCTGGTCTGGGGTGAAGTTGGTCCTGTTGATTAAGTCCTTGTCTTGTAGAAGTTGTTTTCTGATGGTTTCTACTGCTTCAGAGATGGGTATGCATGTGAAAAGAGAAGTCACATCATACGATACAAGGGTTTCTCCTGGGGTTAGTTTCAAATGTTGAACTTTGTTAGCAAAATCAATGGAGTTCTTTATGTGATGAGGTGTGTTTCCAACAAGAGGAGCTAAAATACCAGCCAGATGTTTAGCAATATTGTATGTCACTTAATTGAAGATATCACCTGTTGTTTAACTTTGTCATCCGTCCCCATCTCATCAACAGTAGTTTGTATGCACTCTTTCACCGTTTCAGCATCTGTGAATGGTATTTTCTTTTTGGTCAGTATCCATGCTATTTGGAGAGATGCTATTGTAGCCTTCTCGTGCAGAGTACAGGTCCTGGTGAAAATGCAGAACTTTTCTGGTAGTTTTCAGTAAGCGTTTTTATTTTTGTCAGACACAGATCAGAACCCAGTGGATAGTCTTTGTCAAAGTTGGTATGAAACATCTTGAAGTGCCTCCGCACATTATATTCTTTATTCACCGAGCAGATGTCGAAACAAAACAGGCACATGGGATTGCCATCAGCATATTTTATATGTGTCGTTAAATTTTGTATTTTCGCTGTCCACCTTACGTCTCTTCTCTTTTGAATGTGACGTTTTCACCAGAAACTGCTGCTGGCCTCCCACTAACGGTGTAAATGGCAGCACTGCATGTCATAAAATGTTGAAAACTGCCATTTTTCTTCTTCGTTTTCTTCTTGAGTTTAATGGCGGTTGGTAATCAACAATGTGGTGTGTTACCGCCACCACCTGTAAGTAGTGTGAATTACAAGTTGCGCTTACAGTTTAGTCACAGCTTCTTTTAAAATTTTTATGTAATAATAGAGGTAAATGGGCAGTGGGTCAGTCCAAAATGATTGATGGGCCAGTTCTGGCCCTTGGGCCGCCAGGTGAATACCCCTGCACTAGACTGAGGAACAGCTTCTACCCTGAGGCTGTTAGACTCATGAATCCATAACCAGGATAATCATTGTGAAAATAAATCACTGTAATGCCACTTTGATTGGTGACATGTGCTGCTGATTATTTCATGCTGCTGTATTCATTCGTACTCATCTTCTCACATAGACTCATGTTTGTGCCGCTGTTGTTCAGTGCATTGTTTTTGTACTAATAGTGTTTAGCGTATTAATTAGTATATTTCTTAGATCCTTATTTACTGTTTCTTTGTACAATTTATATTTTTGCTATTGTTGGATGTAGCTGGGACCCTGTGTACACAATTTTGTTCTACCTCATGTACCACATGTGATGTGAATGATAAAAAACCTACTTGAACTTGTGTGAGGGAATTCATGCTTTAGATTTGAACAGTTTATTGTTGGGCATGTTTGTACTGGTTATGGTACTAATTTACAGAGTGAACAGTTTTGTTTGCTTTATTTTTATTCATATTTATTGTGTGAAAATACAAACTATGATATAAAGCACTAAGCTGAATACCAGGAGACGAGTGAGTCTCTAAGAAAGTTAACAATAGGTCCCCACAGTCTTTCAAAGCTCTGAGTTTTAATTGTAGTTGAGTTTCTTTATGTACACGTCTTATTTTTGGAATCCACCCATCAATGGTTGGTGAGTCGGGTTTCATCCAATTGACCACGATCATTCTTCATGCCATCATGGGGAGAATTTGTGTCCAGATCTTTGATCAAGGAACACATCAAGTAGACAGGTGCAGGTTTCAATCTTGAATGAGTATGTAAATTAATTACTGTAATTTGAGGTTATTGAAATAAATCTAAAACATCTGTTTTATAAAAGTTAAAAAGGGTTATTTTTAGGGGTGCACTAATTGCAGCTTTCTGGCCGATCACCAGTTTCCTTCTTCTTGTGTTGGTTTTGAACCAGTTTGACATGACTGTCGATGAGGAAGAGGGCTGGCACCGGAGGACGGGGCGTGCCAAAGACACCATCTTAGCACCAACATAACTGGTTTGTTCCACTTTGGAGTAAGCTGTTGGGGGGAAGAATCAGTTTTGTTGTGTGTTTCCTTGACTGATGAAGCCTTCTGGATGGAAGGTGAAACATTTCAGCACAAAAAAAGAAACTGTCCAGATGACCTGACTGAAAAATGTTGGATTGTATACCTGGATTATTGAGCATGGACTTTGTTGGCTTGAACAATATCCTATAAACAATACAAACTGGTTTTAACTGGCCATGAGATCGTGCTCTGAAATATAAATGAAGTTCAGACAATTGTTAAAACAAAAAAAAATCTGTAAAATCGGTTCCTCATGCAAATGTCGGCCGATTTCCAATTTCCCAAAATTAAGGAAATCGGCCGATTTATCGGTGCGCCCCTAATTATTTTACATGAATTCTCTGGTAGGCGTGTTGTGCGGCAGAACATTTTCCTCAGTGTCGCTGTCGATCAGCAGGAGTTTCTCCCTCTTCAGCAGCTATTTTTAACTTTCACACAATATTACAGAGTCCAGCTTCCCTTGACTGAAACCAAAGAGTTCAAAGTGCACACCAATGGTGGATTCTTTAAATTTTGAAAAAATGTTGATATAGTGATCCGGAGTTTAAAACTGGATGTTTGAAATAAACGATACAATAATATAAAGCTGATTTTGGACAGTGTGATGAAAAACGTCATTATTTTTCATATTTGTGTGTTGATGCCACAGCGAGTGATGCCCACCAGTTTCTTCTTGTTGCTGCGTTTCTTCCTGCGTGTGGATGGAGTCCTGATCAGAATAAATGACACGCGACTGTATTATGAGGCAAGTTGATGTTCATCTGTATTACAGCACTATATCTGTATATCAGAAAGAGGGCGGTGTAACTTCTGTTAATCTATACTGGAAATGTGAACGTGCACAGCCATCCTAAAGGTATATAAATTAAACAGCTGGACTTCTATACTCTAGTTAAAGACATTTCTATTCCCTTTCAGGGAGTTTTTTTTGTTCAGAACTGGAGAGAGAGAGTGTAGCTCCAAGCTTTAAACTTTGAGTTGCTCTATTTATGTAACAAAATCTACATGCAGATTAATCTCAGCCCTACACATTGACGGTCATTAGGATCTGTGTTTGCTTGGTTCACAAGAGAGTTGTTTTTGTCACATTCATGAAGGCGTGAATTAAAGTAAAACTGACCAGGTATCAGGGTTAATGCTTTACTGTAGGATTAAAAAGCTCATCTGGTGAGCCTAGCTAACAAAGACCCTAACAACCCTCAGAAGGAAGGGAGCGAGATTAATATCCTGATGCATGTTCAATAATCCAGGTAGAAAAATCTAAAAAAGTTAAATCTGGTCCTCTGGACATTCAAAAAAGCAAAACAACAAAAAAATGTAGAAACGTTTCGTCTCTCATCCTGAGGACTTCCTCAGTCTGAGGTGCTGTTTTCAGCTCAGTCTCTTAAATAGCACCTTCTCAGAGTGGATCAACCAGTTTGCTGCTGACAACCAGAACCAGCTGATCACATGCTCAAGAAGGACCATCAGCCTAACAATGGATCATTAGCACCTGATGGCTGTTTACTGTTCACAGAGGGCTGAGTGATACTAGCAATCACAGCATTGTAAGAGGGGGACAGTTGAACCTGGAGGCTCCACCCCTGTTTAACTCTGAGAAGGTGCTATTTAAGAGACTGAGCTGAATACAGCACCTCAGACTGAGGAAGTCCTTTGGATGAAAGACGAAACGTTTCTACATTTTTTGTTTTGTTTTGCCTTTTTGAATGTCCAGAGGACCAGATTGAACTGTTTTAAGAACTTGCATTATAGTGTTCTACGTTGGATGCCCTTCCTGACACAACCCTCACCATTTACCTGGGCTTAGAAGGAGTAATATTGAATAATGATAAATAATAATACCCGGGGAAATAGAAGAAGGAGCTTAATATACATGTAAAAATAAAAACACAATCTGTGGGGAGGGTGCAGGCACTAGGTTTGTCACCTTTTTCATCCCTTCCTAGTTTGCAGATATGCCTATAGCCAGTGGTGCTGTGGCCACCTCACAGGTTTCACAATCCCTGCTTTATGTTAACGACGCTGAAGTGTCTCCATGTGTGAATAAAGAGAACAGAGCCTGCCTTATCAGGATGTCTGTCCACAGAGAAGACGATCGGTGTGTACAAAGAGCCTATAGTGAATGAGCACAGGTCCAAATGTTGATGTGCACATCAACAATGGTAATAATATAATTCAGAGTAAAATACGTATTTTAATTTCAGAATGGAAGTGATCACATGCTGCGGGAGTTCACCATGAGGGAGAGCAGAATATCAGAACTTAAGGTAAGTACTAAACACATTGTGTGCAGTCTGTGAGACGGGTCAGAACCCTGACCACAACAAGCTAATATCTTAGACATGACGCTGGACTCTGGTAGCTAATGAGAATGATTACATGAAAAATATTAATAATCTATCCTGATGCATGCTCAATAATAATTACCTCTGGACAAACACAACTATCATTTCAGTAGAACAGAACTTCTGTTTTATGCCCCTCGGTAGAGAAATTCACATTTATTTATTTTTTTGCAGCAACAGAAGAACAAAAGTACCAAATAAACGTCCTGTACTGTGAGCACAAAAGGATGCAAATATAATTATACACAAAAAGTGTAAAGTACTTCTAAACCAAACTGGATCCTGCTGACTTCTACCAGCAAGGGCCTTTTTTTTTTGGTTTGATGATAGACTGTCAAAATAGCAACACCATTTATTAAAAAAATTTATAATTATTTTGCCAACTTGTGGAGAGAAATAATCCCCCCCCCCCCCCCCCAAGGCAAATTATTATGGCAAAAATTGCTCAGTCTCAGTAAATTGTTTGCAAATTAACTGAGTGTAAACAAAGAGCTCAGATTTGGTGTGGTGATATCTGAGTCATGTACAGCACAATGTAAGCGCCGTCGGGTGAAACGAGATTTGTTTTTAAAACGTCACCTTTAGCTCTGAGCCAGCTCCGTCCGTTAACAATACGAACAGTGGACGGAGTTTATTGAAACGTTCAGTCGTTCTTGGATGTTCATGAACACCTCCTACACTTTTGGAGTCTATCCAGATCAGGATGGCTGCAGCATCTTATCGATCTTAGACAACTAAAAATAACTCTAATTTAGCCATCCTGATGCATGCTCAATAATCCAGGTAGAAAAATCTAAAAAAGTTAAATCTGGTCCAGATTGAGTCTTAGCCAGTGTTAAGACAGTGTCTCAAAGATTGAGATTTAGCCAGTTTTACAGATATTGAGATACTTTGATGTGATATAGTAGTTGCTGAGTGTCTTCCCTATTACAAACTCCAAGAAATGACACGTCTTGACAAGATCACGTGATTGTCATAAAGTTGTTTTTTTTACAAGATTTGACTAAAATGAGTCTAAAACTCTGCCATGAAAGGTGGTGAGCAATATTCATTCCTTCACAGAATGCTGGGCCTTTATTCCTGTACTTTTTTAAATACATTTTTAATTCAGTTTATGTTTATAACGCCAAGTGGCAACAGAATTCTTCTCAGGGCACTGTAAAAAATATTGACATACTTAATGATATGCCATGCCAGTCAAACTGGAACAGATCCCAAAGAAAGGCTTGTTCTCAAAAATGCTTCATATTCCATTTTACAATCGTTCCGTTTGAAACAAGGAATTTTTCTATCTCCAACAGCAATTACACAGTGGTCGCTGAGACCATTTGTAAACATACCAAACCCAATGTATTTATGTGGCATGTTTGTGATGAGATCTAGAAGACATGATTTTGCAGGGCACTTTAGATTAGGATGAGTGGGACTATCAATAATCTAAGATTTGAAGACAAAATTAAATTCCTCCGACACAGGAGAAAGCCAATCTAAATTTAAACCACCCACCAGAACAATATAATTGGGATGTAAATTAGAAGCATTAAAGACAACAGTCTTTCAAATGTGGTGCTAGGCGGTCTGTAGCAGCCAACAACAGATAACTGACCAAGACAGTTCGATGTTTAGTGCCAAGAATTCAAATGGCTTAGGTGCCGATTTTGTAAAACCAGTTGTGTTGCAAGACTAGATCTGACATAAATTGCCACTTCCTCCTTTTCTTGGACGATCGGAACAATAATTACAGCCTTTAATTGAAACATCTTTGTCCAGAATAGATTTAGTTAACCAAGACTCAGAAATGATAATAATATCAGCACCAGTTGAACAAATCCATATCCTTAGCATATCCATTTTAGTAAGGAGGCTACGAGCATTAGTGTGCACAATATGTAATCCTGACATGTTTTTAAAGTCTGTTGGAGTACTACATGCTGTTAGAGGGCAGGATTAAACTGAATCCAGATGAAAGAGCATCGCAACCAAATATTTCCAGGTATTCTTGACAGAATACAATTGCTGGAGTTAATGTTGTAGCACTTAGACTCCATTATCATTCCACGATGAGATACATTTATAAAGACACTGCTGTTTAGAATCCAAAAACAATTTGTCAAGGTTTGGCAAATCCAGATGCAGCACTAAGATTTAACAATTCTCCATCCATCCATTTTCTTCTGCTTATCTGGGGTCGGGTCGCGGGGGTAGCAGCCCAAGTATGGAGGCCCAGACTTCCCTCTCCCCAGCCACTTGGGCCAGCTCCTCCGGGGGAATCCCAAGGCGCTCTCAGGCCAGCTGAGAAACATAGTCCCTCCAGTGTGTCCCGGGTCTTCCTCTGGGTCTCCTTCCAGTGGGACGTGCCCGGAACACCTCACCAGGGAGGCGTCCAGAAGGCATCCTAACCAGACCACTGGAGGATCTGGACGCCACCATAGTTGCAACAAACGGCAACAATAAAAAACGAGCTGCCAGCTCAGAGTCAGAGATTATTGTCATTCGCACCTCATGTGGTACATGTGGTGGAGCGAAATTATGTACACAGGGTCCCAGTTACATCCAACAATAAAATGTATAAGAAAAACAGTAATAACATCTAAGATATGAACTAAGAAAAACATCAACTAAATATACACTAAGCACTCATAACATAAAGCATTGAACATCACCACAAACATGAACAGGAGTCTGTGAGCAGATGTGCACGCATGAACACATCAACACTGAAACAGATCAGCAGCAACATGAAACAGATCAGCAGCAACATGAAACAGATCAGCAGCAACATGATATGGTTTTTCACAGTGATTATTCTAGTTAGAGATTCATGAGTCTAACAGCCTCAGGGTAGAAGCTGTTCCTCAGTCTAGTGGTTCTACACTTAATGCTCCTTAACCTCCTTCCTGAGGGGAGCGGGACAAAAAGTGTGTGTGCTGGGTGAGTGAGGTCCTTCATGATGCAGGTGGTCCTCTTCCTGCATCTGGAGGTGTAGATGTCTGTGATGGTGGGGAGGCTGACTCCAACATCTTCTGTGCAGCCTTCACCACTCTCTGCAAAGCTTTTCTTTCTGCAGCTGTGCAGCCTCCATGCCACACGTTGATGCTGGAGCACAGGATGCTCTCCACTGCACACCTGTAGAAGGAGGTGAGGACTGAGCTTCCAGACCAGCTCGTCTCAGCTGCCTGAGGAAGTAGAGTCTCTGATGAGCTTTCTTCATCAGGCTGGTGGTGTTGTTGCTCCAGCAACAACAGGGGTATCCGCTCTTTCCAACTGGCAAGTTCTGGTTTGGTTCGGAGTTGAGGACCCGTTAGCCACCTACAGGACGCATGCAGGATGGGTTTTTTTCTTGTTGATAAATCCCAGTCCAATAAAATTCTTCCACGACAAGACCAAGTTTCTGCTGAACTGAAATTGGGGGGGGGGGGGGGGGGGGTGTCCTCAGATGCGGTCCAACAAGAAGCAGACAGAAACAGTCCTCCAGGGGAACCAGCACAGAACCGCCCAGTGATCCTGTTTGAATCCAAATAATGCAGAGGGATATCCAGGTGAGCTCCAGTGAAGACACCGTCCCTCCGAAGGAACACCTGGATTTAGGTTTAAATAAGCAGAAATTAGCTCAGACGTTATGAAATTACCTGAAAATAAAAAGATGAAATTTGCACACACACACGGTGAAAAGTAGATGGAAAAGGCAGAAAGAACCTTAAAACTACCAGGAGGAAGTGGATAGAGATAAAATTAGCTGAAAAAGCTAAAAAAAAAAAAAAAAAAAAAAGCACAAAACAGCTACGTAGTCGCTGAAACAACTGAAACTAGCAGAAAGAAGTTAGTTGGGCTGAAAGTAGCAGGTTACCACAAAAAACGTGAATTTATCTGAAAACAGCTGAAATTAGCTAAGAAATGCTGAAAAGGTAGAACAAGCTTAAACTAACATGCATTCAACCTTTATTTATACAGGTTAGTCTCCCTGAGCCACAAGGACTCATTTACAAGAGAGACCAGTTTTAAACAAAGAACAGATGAAAACAGTGGACAATCATAAAAAACATAAATTGAAAAGTAAAAAGAAATGATATAAAAAGACAAAACATAAAAACAGCTACATTATAAAGCGATGCTTCCATTGATTTTTACCGTGAACTTGGCATTTGTTTCAAGTCATTCAGAAAGATGAAGGTGGAGAGCTTCTGTGATGATTACGAGGCTGGAGACCCAAAGCTGCAGGCAGACCACAGAGACTCTTGGAAAGAATAATTTATTATTAAAGCAAAGAGAGCTGACAAGGCAGCAGACTTACATAAACCACGGAGCAGGAGTTCAGAGCAGGTCAGGCGTCACAAGGACAACGAGGGAGTCAGACAAACACTGAAGTACAAACAGTAACGAGACCAAACACAGAACACCTGTGAGTCATCACAGGTGTTCTGTATTTGTCTGCTCCCCCTCTGATGTCTGCACCTGTGATGTGTCACAGGTGCAGACATCAGAGGGGGAGCAGACAAACACAGAACACAAGAGGGAGCCAAAGACCAGGGGAAGCACAACTCCTGCAGCTTCAGGTCTTTTTACAAGATGTTCCAGGAAACAGGAGCGGAGCAGGAGAAGGTCCTTTTGTCTAGTTCAGTCCTCACTGAGGGAACACTGCAGGTAATGATGTCCTGAGAGCGCACGCTGTAGCTGCACTCACGCAGAGACATGTAGGAGGAGATGTATGAAGGCAGCAGACCAAGAAGTGATTTAAAGATGAAGATGTACCAGTGGGAGAGTCTGTGTGAAGTTAATGGTGACCAGTTAACCAGTGAAGAGTACGGTAGTTACTGGGGTGGACAATATGGCTTAAATGTAATATCGTGATATTTCAGAGCATTCTGACGATAACGATAAATTTTGTGATATAACAAAAAAAGAAATCATATTTATTCATTTGACAAAATTAACTTTAACATGTTGCTTTGCAGTATTATATAAAAATAAGAAATAAAAAAAAATGAATTTTTTTTTACTGCAATTACTTTATTTAGTAATGTATTCAGTGTGAAAGTATAAAAATATAAAATAAAAGTGATCCTTCTGTTCTTTAGATTCAGTTTACGCAGTCTGGTTCAGTAGTTTGGTGCACTCAGTTCTGTTATCGGGGCGGGGCCCCCCCTTGCAGAGTGGAAGGGGGAACACTGACGTATTTACGTCATGGACTTAGCACATCAGGATATCAGTTATTTTCCAGGGCCAGATGTTTTTACAGATATTCTCCTGAACGATGTGGTATGGTCCAGCCCCATTAGTTCCAGCCAGTTATGAGTCAGCGCACCGTGATGGGCAGCGCCCAACATGTGAACATAAGAAGACATTTACCCAGTTAGGCTTCAAGAACCAGACATGAGCACAAAAAGTGGAAATTATCTGAAAAAAAGCTGAAATGAGCAAAAAACAAAGCAGAAAGTAGCTTAAATTACCAGAACGAAGTGGAAAGCACATCTTTGCTGAATTCAGCTGGAAACATTTTAAACGAGTGCAAACAATGTGGCATTAGATGAAAAAGCTTAAATTAGTATAAACAGCAACTAATTCTGACAATAATTCGATATCGATATATTTCACGATATGCTTTGATTCAATAACGGTGATATGAGTTTTAAGCACATTCTCGATATTTCGATGTGATCACAGCGTTTCACTGACGTACTTCTCTTTCTGTCCGAGCCGGACAGAAGAAGCTGCGGCACAACGCCGTGAGTGCGTGGTGGCGTGACGCAGAGCTCGAGCCCACGAGGCGTCCGTGTAGCAGGCTAGTCTGCAGTGCACGCCAAGTTTTCTCTTCGACATGAGCGTCCATGACCGTCACAATGTGACTGAGCAGTCTGTCACGAGAAGAGAAGCCGCCGACGTCAGTGATGAGAGGCGAGACTCGTGCAGCGGTTCAGCTTTCCAACGTGGGACCAAGTGCAGGTTCTAACAGGTGCTGGGAACATCCGACATGCTCCACAACAGAATCTGACGAGTCACCAGATGAAGCGCAATGAAGTCTGAGCCACCGTGTCCTGAAGCACCCCCAGCTGCACGTTTTTCAATTTATTAATTTATTCGTTCATTTAAAACAAATTCACCAGGAAGAAAAAACATTGAATGAAAAGAGTTCAATTCAGTTCAGTTTATTTCTAAAGCACCAAATCACAACAAAGTTGTCTCAGGACATTTTACAGGAACATTCACATAAAAGACCAAAAGGATGAAGAAAGAAGAAAGTAATTATTATCTGCCCCTAATTTAAAAAATATAAAATAACTACAAACAACCTTCACTTGAACAATCTCCAAACTGAAAACAAAACAACTTCAGGCGTCCTTCACCTGCTTCTAAACCTTCCCATTAACTTTAACGTCGTCATCTTTTTAAACCTGTAAATAGTTTCATAAATGTTCCTGGTGACATGAAGACAGTTCCCACCCTGTTCCCTGAACTACAGCTCAGCTCCTTCACACCAGATCCACATGGACGTTTAACCAACATTTACATCCCTGCACCTTAGAATCACTCTTTGTTTTACGCATTTTCATTGAATGTTTGGGGATAATATTTATACATGACTTGGAAAATACTATATTCAACCAAATCATAACATTTTAATAATTTCAACTGATGAAATAATATATTTGTTGGGTGACCAGAGCACGTATACTACTAATAATTCCTATAGCTCTTTTTGTAAAATAAAAATAGGGTTTTTAATTGTTTCACCTGCTTTCCCCCAAACTTCAATACAACAGATTCAATATGGAACAATCATTACATTATACTATATATATATATATATATATATATATATATATATATATATTTTTTTTTTTTTTTATTTGTAAGTATTTCACATGAGATTTCCACGTCAGCTTCTCATCAATAACGACGCCCAAAACTTGTATTTCATTAACTCTGAGAATTTTTAAGTTGTTGTTTAAAGTTAAAAGTATTAATGTTGACAAAGTTGAGAATTTTATGTTTATTTGACAGTGATTTCGATGTTTTTGAAGGGTAAATACAAATAAAAGGTATTAATGTATTTGTATAGTTTGTAGTTTTTCTGAGGCTTCTATATTATTAATATCGATATTGAATTATATCGTTATCGACCAAATTGAAGAGATATAATGTGATAAAGGTTTTGGCCACATCGTCCAGCCCTAACAGCAACAGAGGCTGAAACAGCAGAAGCAGCTGAAACTTGTAGAAAAGTGTTAGAAGAAGCATAAACATGTTGTAGTTGGCAGGAAATCTGTGAAAGGAGCACAAACAGCTGGAAACAGCTGAAAGTAGCTGAAAAATGTTTAAATGTGCAGCAGGAAGCTAAAAGAAGCTGTAAATGCATCTAAAGATCTGAAGGAGCTCAAACGAGCTCAATTTATTTTCTACGATTCAAAAAAGGCAGAAAAGACTAAATATTTCAAAAAGCTAAAGTTGCACCAATACCAAAAGTCATGGCAGGACTGTCCTGAAGGAGCTTAACGTTTAGATGATTCACTGAAATAACTTAAAAATTGTGAAACGAGAACAATGCCAAATAATGTGTGGAAGAAGAGATGACAATAGTGTGAACGCTTCATGATAATATAAACAGGTAGAGCAAGTAAGAGCGGCAGCAGAGAGGACGTGTCGAAGCGACAGCAGACTGTTCGACCAGAGCTCAGCCCGCAGCCTCGTCCTGGACCACGCTCAGCCCGCAGCCTAGTCCTGGACCACGCTCAGCCCGCAGCCT